AACATATTGAGTATTGAGAGTGAAATAAATTAATAACTTATGAATGCTAAATGTTTTACGTCCAAAACAATTCCACGAAGCAGTAACGATTTTCAAATCGTCTTAGCAACAAGCTTTCAAGCTTGTCTTGCAAAAAACGCTGTAAAATCCCTGTCTGATTCATTTATTTAGTACTTTACTTAGTAGGTATTTTAACATTAATTTTAAAGTCAAAAACCATTTTTGCCGTTCGATCCTCAAAAAAATATCACTAACCTATCTCAGAAATTTAAAATCTTAGTAACGTAGGAAGCTAGTTTCCTTAACTCACGGGATTGGAGTCGTGCAGCTCGCAAGTACCGCAGCTCTCACAGCCAATTACATTTAATAAGGCTGCCCCGCGCACTCAGTAGGCATAATTTAACTGGATATTTCCGCACATTTTAGTATTTCGCTCAACTTTCGGGGCCAGAGGGATTTCAGGGGGCATTATGAAATACTTATCAATTAAATAAAAATCTAAGGCTGATGTTGGTTAAAACTGAAAATTTGTGAAGTATTTGTTGAATGAATATTCATAATTAATCATGAAATGCCAGATTTTGTTTATCGAAAACCATAAATCTTGATGAAAAGGTTTGATAAATAATTGTAGAGTTTTACTCCAAACGTCAAATAATTGAGCCGCTTGCCTGGAGCCAATTTAAAAGTTATTAAATATCTCTTGGAAGGCCTCAAATAAATTATGAAACAAGTAAATACAGTTGTAATGAATACCACTTGTTTCTGAAATTGAGAGGAGGAAAAACTTATCCGGCGTAGACAGGTGCTCGGCAACTTAACGAACTCCGACTCATTACGGACGGGCTTAAACGGGCCTTCGTTTATGTTGAGATTAGTCTAATAGTCATGGATTGTTTCAAATTCATTTATGAACAACCATTCGACGCTCTATCATTCAATGTTGTACTGAGAAGGTAGGTACTGAATTAATGAAGCTTCAGAATCGCTTAAGGTTGCGTTTCTTCTAAAAAGAAATTTGATTTTGAATCGCGACACATTTCTGCAGGTTCACGTGAAAGCACAGTGCTGAAGAATTATAATTTCAACTGAATTGTTATATTAATTTACTGTTTTGGTAGATGTTTCAAAAATCGCTTTTTCTGTAAAAAAAAGACTAATATGCTTTTTATAATTGAAATTAAAAACACATAGCTCAGATACTAACACTAACAAGTTAGTTACATAAAATTATAAAATATTTTACGAAGTCAAATGAAGTAAAGAACATTTTCAGTAGGTATTTTATGTCAGAGCCGTAGGATAACAAATTAGGAGCATACCTGCCTTGGTACAGAATATCTTAAATGAAATTTTAGTATGAAGCTCATTAAAGTAAAGTATGCGTAAGTCTTTGGCTAGGCCTATGAATAATTTCATTTTAAATTTTGTGCCTCATCACCAACATACATTATGTATTTGTGGGTAAATGGAGAATGTTTTTGATAATTGAAATTGTGACTTGTGTCACGTGTAAGTCAAATTTTAACGTCACCCGGGAATGAGATAAGATTAGTCGCGGTATTTCACATCTCCCACCCGGGGGAACTGGCGAAGACGGTTTTTATCCCGCGCGCATTACAATAGCTAGGTAAGTACTCAGTAAACACACTTTTGAATGGTCACACACTACATACGTATCGTCGGCTTAGGCAGTTAATTCAGATCAACACGAAAAATTATCATCGTTGCATTCAATTGCTCATCAAATGGTTCGATTCGTTTGGTAACTAATCGAATAAAGAATCGGACTTAATTCTACGATCGAAAGAATTCATAAATTCTTTATGAAAAAAAATTTTCGATCTGAAAAGAGGTGTTGTAAATTGCCCAGTATTGTTTTAGCGAGAGCTAGACTTCTATCGATCACTGCATCGAGATTTAACATTGATGAAAAAGCTGTGCCGGCTTTTGGGTTAGGAGTAATCTCTGTTATAAGATTTCTTTGAGCACTAAAATCTAGAATTATCTAAAAAGTGATTTACTCGCACGTCTGTCTCTGTAATCTAAAAAAAATCATAACTCTTCCGTGGCAGTCATTCAATGTTTAGTTCTGTCTTTGGTCGGAATTAAATTCTCTTTCGATCATAATAAGTAGTAACCATATTTTTCTAAGAGCTAGGAAAGGGATAAGAATAAATAAATGTATTCAGTAAAAAGGTGCAAAATGAATCTCTATTACTGTTAGATATGTGAACTAAAGTAATTAATCTTTTAACAAATAGTGTGCATCATGGCACAGTATTGTACAAGTTGATTATTAAATAACGCGGCAAAAGGCATGCAAATAACAGCATTGAATTCACCCGGAACAAATATTCATTGCAAAAATGTTAATTGAAAATATGTTTCAATACCTCTCAAAGAAATCTTTGCCCTGCTCAGTTTCCAAATAAACAATTTTTAATTTTCTTCGCGTAATTAACAAAGCCAAAGAAGGAATCTCATTGTAAATTATGAAATAAGTGCAAATATTAATTTGCATTTGCATTTTCATTGTAAACTCGCGTCGGGCAGTTTTTGTTAGTGTTCATTATTTTTATTAGCAGCGCTCAAAGGAACAATGCTACGGGCTACAATGGAGGCGCCCGTAGCCCGTAGCGCTACGAAGCCGTAGCGCGTAGCGACTTAGTAGCCGTCGTCCATATCATAGCGATATTTATTGAGATTTTGTGATTTATCTTGACGAGTACTGTTATTTAAAAGAGAATTGATTAACATAAAAATATTAGAAACTGTTACCAAGCATAGATTAATAATTAAAACATAGTGACTTTGTCTGATAAAGTTTACAGAGAATTCACCTATTTAATATTTTAAATCTTGGTTATTACCAGCCCTGACTTCTTCTTCTAGACCTATGTTAGTCTATGCACTCTACCCTGAACAGAGCGAATACAATCTGAACTTCCTTTTTTATACCTCGATGAGCGTAGTAATAGAAAATCGATTGCGTTTGCTTTGTTTGTAATCGTTTCATTTTATCGATCGAACGCATAGAGGAATTATAAAATCGAACGTGACAGGCGTTGGCTTCATCTCAAGTTATTATTTTCTGTTGTATCACTGCTTTTTATCATACTATCGCTCACCATCATCTTGTATCACAAAATCAACATGTTCTATTGTTTTGATTCTTATATCACCAGCATTTGATAATATGTAGATAATAATCTCCACGCGTAATAAATTGATAAAAAATGTTAACTAGGAAAATTAGGCTGCTGGTGGTTCAAACAACTATCATTAGGAATTCTCGTAATGACGCGTGCTTTACTTTTAACACCGAGCATTTCGAATATAATAACATTTAATGTAAGTACTTTTATTATTTCGGCCACAATTACACAAAGGCAAGTTCACTACATTTATTAGTAAGCTTTAATGCAAAATCGACTGAAATCATAGTTTATTTCATTTGAACGTATTTCACGCTTGAAACTGTTTGCGGGACATCAGGGATCTACCCTGTAACCGCTGTTTTTGAACAAAATGTCAAGACTTGCTTTAATGAAATATTCGTTCTGTTGTGTTAAATTACATGTCACTGTTTGTTGAGTATAGTACTTAATTCGATTTTAAAACACTTACACTTGACTAGAATAGGTACGTAGTAAAAGGTACAATCAACACCTTACAATTTTTTTGCAACTAAATATTCCTTTGCAACTGTAACTGTACTGAAATTAACATGTCACAGTGCTTAGCTTAATGAACTGTCGTTCTTGCAATGTTTTTTGGCAAAAGATTGAATGAATATGCAGGGAAAAGAGAAATACAGAAAATGAATGGTCTCGAAGATACTGTTACATTTTCTGCTCCGGTACACCAGTAGATGTCACAAAAATGTAAAAGAGAAAAACTGCAAGTCCGTCAATTGCAGGCGTGGCCAGGTATTCTTGACGTTTAAGCAATTGTATAGGACTTTGTGCTATTTTCATGAATTTTGTAGACTTTGTTGTAAAAACGGCGCTGAATATTTTTTACTGTTGACACCAAATAAAACAAAAACTGTTACTGATAAAAACTGACTCTACGTATTCCTGAAAAGGTTAGCACATAAGTTTTAGCTNTTTCAGCTAAGCCTAATGTATCAAGTTGATTGTGTTTTTCCGGGAAAATATTTAGATACAGGAGGTTTATCAATTAATCTTGCTTTGTTAACGGAATAAAGTAGAAATAAATCCTCGTAGAGAGGGCGGATGACGGCTCCTAAAATAATCGTCTTAATTAGGATCTGTTCTGTAACCAGAGCAAGCAATAATGAACTATGGCTAAGATGAAGTGAATCTTTTTGACTTACTACGTTTAACGATGTTCAAAAAATATAAAGCATTTTATTTCCATTATCGTTTTTTAAAGCAGAATAGTGTGACGACGGTCTACTTGACTTTATGAGATTCAGATAATCCGTACATTATCATTTTAGTAGAGCGCTGATTTATGTGTGAGGGTGAATAAATTATTTGTAATTTGACATCATAGAAAAGGTGATTTGATTTAAATATTTTAGATATTTCAATAATCTGCTGCACCAGTCTGCTTTTAAGTGTGTAATTTTTGACTGTCTAAAAGTCTGGCTCAGACTTAAAGGTCACCTCCAGCTTAAAATTTTCGCAGTTTATTTTCAGCCGTTGTCTATAATTTCTTCAGCCCAACTAAATGATTATTGCCGATGAACCTGCAACGGCAGGAATTTCTATTACGATTTATTATTTTATTGAAATGATAGATGATTATTTATTTGTGTGTAACTTTATATGTTTTTTTTTTAATCAATTTTCTCTTTCCTCTTGCTGTTATTCGATCGATTTTTGTCTTTTTATATGCATTTTTGGGAATATACCATACATTAATTCTTAAAAGTATTTTATAAATGGAATTTACATATTCCTACGTATTATCTGACATATCCGAGATAAAAACCTACGAGAAAACCATGAGAGAAAGTGTTTACTCACCGTGATGGGTTTCGACGTAAACTTTGCAGAGACGGCGACAAACTCCCTACTCGCCCGTCAGGTCTCCACTGGCGGACTTTCGAGCCCCGAAGCCTTATATACGACTTCGCGGGCTAAGGGTGAGAGGCGGAGCCTATCCGCGCAAGCTCCTCCTACTTTTGACAGCTGGAGCTGTGACGTCACGCGTGACGTAACGAAAAACTCTTAGCGTCCAATCCTGGCCAAAGGTTAAAGTTGATAAACCACGCGTTGTTTAAATTCATGAATCAGATTTGGGAAGTTTCAGGCTTCAGCATAAATGGGACGTAATGATGTGGTTTGACGTATTTTAATTAGCTTATTAAGATGAGTCAGAGGGTAATGCAAAGTTTTAGTTAGACTTGGTAGAGTAAAACTTTGTAAAGAATTGAAAATTATAATTTAAATACGTTAATGTCATTCACTAAATTCGTGCTTCATAATGAGAATCCTAAGAGCTGAAGAGAATATTCAAAAGATTTTCATTAATTGATTGTGTACCATTGCACAGTCAACTTATCAAATAACTGCACAAAAATTAAAATAACCCATTGAGATCGTTATACCTTAACCAGTTAGTACTTTTAAAAGGCAGACTCAATCCATTCATGAAGGAGCTCGTGTTCACTGGAAAACAGATTCTTAAGACAATATCAAAGTCTAAAAGTGAGTTAATAAGTATTTTCCAAACAAAATGTGTAAAAGTGCTTTTTTAAGCCTATTTACAGAAATAAATGAGTTTTACTGAGTTTTTTACTAAACCATAACAGTTGATTAATGATTTGAGTATGGGCTGTGACAATACTAGGTATTTCAGTAATAATCGACATCGACAATCTTAGAAACATACAGGTTAACTAAACCTATAAATTATTTGGTTTTAGTTAGTAGTACGAAAAACAGTATAATTTAAATAACAGTAGTGGTCGTAAAGTTCAATTGTGAGCAGTTAGGTCGGCAGTAACACTTTTGTAGGTGTAGTTAGCGCTTAACTTGCCGATCGTAAAGTTAACTGTTCGCCAGGGATGAGGCCTGGCGCCGGTTAAGGTTCCGTATGTAATTTAAATTAATAATAGAAGACCAGTTAACTAAAGTGTAAGATGTAGAAGCAGTGAATACTTCTGTAGCATTTACGTTTTTCCCAACAGTACATTGCTGGTAATCTAAAGTAACAAATTCTCAATCAATTACAGCAAGAACATAACAATACATTTACAAGTCGACTTTCTGCCACCCAAAAGATTTAATTTTGAATGTAAGTACCTACCTACTTAAACTGGCAGGAAAATTCATAGTGGTGGTAAGCTCTTCCTACTAAATACCAATTAATACCGTACCTACCTAATACAATGTCACCTTAGCTTTTCGAACATAATTAAAATACATATATTAATTTATTTAAAATATTTGAAGTCTGTTGAGTCTCAATACTTATATCGATCAAGGATGTGTCTAGAGGCTCGCTGATACACGTCACCCCACTAAACCGTAATTCGCTAGGAAGTATAAAAGTCGTGTAAATCCAAATTGGCTGTAACGGCCTCCCCCCGTAAAGTGGGGGGAATATCGTAAACATGCAATTAATAGGCCAGCTAATTGACTGCGATGGCTTGACGGACAGCTGACTCATACACTTGTTGATTAGAGTGCTAAAAGACTAATTTATTCATAAAATTAAATTACCTACATCTAAGATACAAAAATAATTTGTTCGAAAATAGTTTTCATATTAAAGTGCAATTAAATTCTTTAATTCTAAAAATAACTATGGTATTTACGTAAAAGACAATTAATCTAAATATATAAAAGGAGAAACTGACTGACTGACTGACAGATCAACGCACAGCCTAAACGGCTAAACGTAGGCACTTGAAATTTGGAAGGGACGTAGCTTAGGTACCGTAGAGGTGCACTAAGAAAGGAATTTCCGAAATTCCCACGGGAACGGGAATTAGCGGGAAAAACGGGATTCACGCGTACGAAGTCGCGGGCGGCCGCTAGTTCAGTATAAACGTGATTAGAACTTACAGTAAAAATTGTCTGTGATCAGAAATTAATAGATTTGAATTTGACACGTTTTGTTACTTGAGTGCTTGAACTAAAATACTACCCTTAAAACCCTCACGACTATTTCTGGCAATTACGCTAGGCTTCGATCCTTTACATATTAATTTTATTACCAATAGGTATCAATAACGAAATCATCAGCGTTTATCATCAGGAAAAATATTGTTAAAATTTTATTGTTTTGCTTGTTTAAATACATCTGTAAAATGCAACGCTATCACGGTACAGTAATCAGTATTATTGCGGATATATTAATTAATACGTACAATCGCAGCTGATGTTGAATCGCATACATTGTCAACACAGCGTGGGTGCTCAACTGCTCAAACATTGGCTGTTGACTGTACAGATTGAATGAAGATGACCTCGGTCCACCGCTCGTTGCTATGCACGTTGCTCATGATACAGACGAAACTCTCGCGAACGTAGACTGAAAGGTCAGACTAACTAAAATGTTTGCGACCGTGAGATACCTTAAACTTAAATGTGGGATATAAAGGGTAAAATACAGTCTAATCGAGATTATTTGTGTTATACTTAATGTCAAAACATTAGTTCTGCGTCAATGAAAAAAAAGATATAATTTACAAACATTGCCTGATTAATTCAGAAATTTTGTTAAGGTCAAGTTTCATTTAACATTCGCTTGACGAGTTAAGTGGCTGTATCGTGAACGTGCACCTTAATTTAGACTGTAACAACTACAGTGATTGGCGTTAAACGAAAGCTCTAACGCAGATTCTGTTTAGCTCCGAACATCATACCTACTATTAGGTACACAAACCGGTGGTGTATCCAGCTGAGGCAATTGATTTTTGTATTAGATTTGATTTCAAATATTGGACAACTCATTCAAATAACAGACACAACCTTAATAAAATTGGTATTGTTTAAAACTTTAGAAGAAATTGAAGAAAATTTATAGTTACTATTTACAGGATAAACTACACAGTAAATTCACATTTTTCATTGTTTTTGTACGACTATGTATGATTCTCCTTGCCTAGCATCTGATCATATCGAACCTTTATTAAATCAGTCAAAAGCTGTCGTTAATATCCAGGCAATGCAGACCTGTTCGGCGAGTGGGCGGAAGGCTGCGGGTACTTGCTGAACACGGCGCTGCACCCGGTCGCGTTCGCCGGCAAGGTCATCAGGGACGTCACCGACTTTGCCACCCTGCCCGACAAGTCCTTGGGGGTATGTAGAGAAAATAATACAGATGAGATAGCTGGGACTTGGACAATTTGACTCCATTCCCCAATAATTCGAAATTACAACTTTTTTAAAAGCCACTTCATTCTGGTCTTTAAAAACATAATTAATTTTAAATGACCTATAAATGACGATTTTGGGTTGCATTAAAATCAAATTAAAAAATTGCAAAAAGTAGTTTCATTGAGTTGACAAAATAGTGACGTAGTGCTATACAAAATCTATGGAAGAGTTAGTTTTAAAAAGTACGTCAATTGATTGGTGGTATCAACACGTCTATTGAAGTATGATTTTATGAAATTAAAAGCAAGAAAAATACCTAAGTAGTATATACAAAAATTGCTGCTGAAAGAGCATGAAATGATAGTCAGGTTGATGAAAGTCTGCAGTATAAAATATATATAAAACAAACTGTTTATCGATTTGTGAATCTTGTCTGAAATTTTAACTTGCGGTTTGAGTGACCAATCTCTAGAAACAGTTCAACTGAAGTCACCAAAAGGAGAGAAAAGTTATCATAGACGGCGTTTGCCATTATTCTTTGACTTGTAATTCATAGTATGTTCTGAAACTCCATTTATGACTTACAATAAGTAAATAAATTGCCAGCCTCAGAAGGTGTTCACGCTGGAAGAGGTGGCCGCTCTGGACGGGCAGGACGGCCGCCATCTTTGCCTCATCATCTGCGGCAGCGTCTATGACGTCACGGACTTCGCCGACTTTGTGAGTATTTATTACCTACCTTTTGTAAGTAAATCAATTTTAAATTATAAAGTGTTTTTTTTTATTTGTACCAAAATAAAACGTTTCCAGTGATTGTATTGGTAATAAAACATTCCTATTCTTAAAGGTCTTGCCGTTTGAAGTCTGTAATTGAATGTTTTAATCAAGTAAATCCAATTATAGTATTTTGTGCTGAAAACTCAGAGCAATGTTTTATTGGCAAATCGATCTGATATTGCCACATTACCTACTAACAAAAGATTATTTTATTCTAATAAATCCACGCAGCTTGATTTTGCTATTGTACTCGCATCTGAGTTGAGAAGTATAAGGCTTTTGGAACAAAGGAGAGACTTAATCTTAAAGCCTAAGTCAAGATACTTGTCTTATTGTTTGCGATTTTGTCTTAAAACCGAAGTTTCGCATTGATATTTGAGATTAAATTAATAAATGAGAAACTGTAAGCTTAAGGGAAAGGTTATGTTCCACTTATAACTGACAATTGAATATTGTTTTAAAGTAAACTATTGGAGAAAATCCTAAGTATCAACGAGATTTTGGGTTCAGATTCAGCATGATAGTGTGATATTGACAATGCGAAAGACCGGTCGGTTATGGAAATCCTTGGGAGAGGCCTTTCTCCAACAGTGGACGTCATTTAGCTGAAACGAACGTTCAAAAGAGTATGCGAATTTAATTATTCAATTTAAGTGGTGCTAGGTGATCGGCCTGAAGAACTATCTTCTTTGTAAGCTTGTACCTCCAACACGAAAAACTTTAGACTTCAAATCGTTTGCGTGTTCGAATCGCCATCAAAAGATTTAATGAAAACTTAAACAACGCCTCTGTGAATGTGACGTAAAGTGAACTTATTACAAGAAATGGTAGCAAGAAACTAATTTTGATAATGAGGGTTGTCACGATATCGTTAAAATCGAATTTTGTCGAATACGCAAACGATTCGAAGACGATTTTTTTGCTAGCGCCCTGTTTNGTAATTATTCATAATAACCGGCGATTATTCATAATTTTCACATTTATCACTTTGACCGTAACATATACAAAAATTGCTGCTGAAAGAGCATGAAATGATAGTCAGGTTGATGAAAGTCTGCAGTATATAATATAAAACAAACTGTTTATCGATTTGTGAATCTTGTCTGAAATTTTAATTTGCGGTTTGAGTGACCAATCTCTAGAAATAGTTCAATTGAAGTCACCAAAAAGGAGTGAAAAGTTATCATAGACGGCGTTTGCCATTATTCTTTGACTTGTAATTCATAGTACTCCATTTAGGACTTACAATAAGTAAATAAATTGGCAGCCTCAGAAGGTGTTCACGCTGGAAGAGGTGGCCGCTCTGGACGGGCAGGACGGCCGCCATCTTTGCCTCATCATCTGCGGCAGCGTTTATGACGTCACGGACTTCGCCGACTTTGTGAGTATTACCTACCATATTTGTAAGTAAATCAATTTTAAATTATAAAGTGATTTTTTTTCATTTGTACCATAATAATACGTTTCCAGTGATTGTATTGGTAATAAAACATTCCTATTCTTAAAGGTCTTGCCGTTTGAAGTCTGTAATTGAATGTTTTAATCAAGTAAATCCAATTATAGTATTTTGTGCTGAAAACTTCAAAGCAATGTTTTATTGGCAAATCGATCTGATATTGCCACATTACCTACAAACAAAAGATTATTTTATTCTAATAAATCCACGCAGCTTGATTTTGCTATTGTACTCGCATCTGAGTTGAGAAGTTTAAGGCTTTTGGAACAAAGGAGAGACTTAATTTTAAAGCCTAAGTCAAGATACTTGTCTTATTGTTTGCGATTTTGTCTTAAAACCGAAGTTTCGCATTGATATTTGAGATTAAATTAATAAATGAGACACTCTGAGCTTAAGGGAAAGGTTATGTTCCACTTATAACTGACAATTGAATATTGTTTTAAAGTAAACCATTGGAGAAAATCCTAAGTATTAACGAGATTTTAGGTTCAGATTCAGCATTATAGTATGTGTGATGAGTATGCAAAGGACCGATCGTTATGGAAATGCTTGGAAGAGGCATTTCTCAAGCAGTGGACGTCATTTAGCTATTAAACGAACGTGGAAAAGACTATGTGAATATAATTACTTACATATTCAATTTGCTTATCATCAGCTATCTAATGGCCAACCAACTACGGTCTGTGGTGCTAGGTGATCGTCATGATAAACTATCTACTACTATTATCTGCCTCATTACATCCTGCATGAAAAACTTTCGTCTTTGATCGTTTGCGTATTCGAATCGAAATTAACCATTGAGTATGAAAAGTTAAACAACCCCCCTGTGAATGTGATGCAATGTGAACTTAAACCGAGCAATGGTAGCACGAAACTAATTTTGCCAATCAAGATTGTCATTATCGTTGAATTCGAAGGCTGGGTATCAAATTTTGTCGAATACGCAAACGATCCAAAGACAAAAGTGTTTGAATATGAAAAAATTTAACATTTTATTCAGCGATACAAAACAACCTCGGACAAACGAATATAGAACTAAATAGTGTAAGTAATATAATGTTTCTTGCTAGCGTCACTGTTTCCAGCACCCGGGCGGGCCGGCGCCGCTGAAGCGGTACGCGGGGCGGGACGCCACGGCCGCGTTCCGCGCCGCCGGCATGCCGCGCCAGGTCTTCGACGTCTTCCTCAACAGGTTCCGAGTGGGGACCGTTGTATGTATACTATACTATCTATAGGAATGTTCAAGGGGTAATAATATATTACTATTCTGTATTCTATCTGGTTGTAAATGGTCGAAATAAGTATTGTAAGCAAGCTGTAATGAGATATCTCATTACCTTTGCCTTTTGAAGAAGTTCATATTAAGTGGTACTGGTAGATAACGTGATTGCGTCAATTTCAGTTTGAAAAATACTTTTTTTCAGGTTGGCGCTGAATTTTCCGCTTCAGGATGTATTTAAGTACCAACTCCTTAAATAATATTATAAACTATATTTTATATGGATTACCTAAGTACTTTTTATAATAAAAATAATAATGTATAACTAATACTTAATTTCTCTAATTTATATAAACTCTACCTCTCTTCTAAGTAACTTCCCTATTGTACACGAATTTATTTGAAAACTTTCATTTAAGTGAAAAATATTTACTTTTTTTTATTTCACTACTAGCTGACCCGGCGAACTTTGTTCCGCCTTAATGGCAATAAATAAGCAGACTTTTTTTTTGTTTCGAACGGGATAAAAAGTATCCTATGTCCTTCTCCTGGCTCTAAACTACCTCCCTGACAATTTTCAGCTAAATCAGTTCAGCCGTTCTTGAGTTATAAGCGAAGTAACTAACACGACTTTCTTTTATATATATAGATAACCGAAGCTTCTTCCAAGTCCCAACCCAACACATCTTCGGCCAAAGTCAATACTTAACTTTCTTTTAATTTTACCCTGCCTGAGAATCGAACAGGAACTTTCATTTAAGGTCATCGTGTCATAAAATTTTGGCGACAATTCCTTTGCATCACCGGTCCAGTCGCAAGCGATACCACACAGTCATTTCTATTTTGTGGAAATACGTGATAGTGACGTGCCACGCATCAGCGATACGTTATCTGGATATCGACACGCGAGATACCGCGATAGTGCAGCCCCGACAGCCGGCTTAGCTCGACTTGCTGTATCTCAGCTACGATTCTAAGGTGAGTACGTATTTTGGATTAGTTCTAAATATGAAATCGAATTATGCCATAAATATTATTTTAATAAAAAGCTAAAGTTCGTGTCGAATCGGGAAAATAAGCTTCTGGCTGAAAGCTATTTTTTTTTATATTTAAGAATATTTTTTACTAGCTTTCCGCCCGCGGCTTCGCCCGCGTGGAATTTTGTCTGTCACAGAAAAACTTTATCGCGCGCGTCCCTGTTTCAAAAACCGGGATAAAAACTATCCTATGTTCTTTCCCGGGACTCAAACTATCTCTATGCCAAATTTCATCAAAATCGGTTGCGAGGTTTAAGCGGGAAAGCGTAACAGACAGACAGACAGACAGAGTTACTTTCGCATTTATAATATTATAGTTGGGATAGAAAAGAACAGTCAAAACACGTCAAAAGAAATAAGTACATTCAAATTGAAACATGATTGAAACTGATCAGATAATAACGCTTTTTACTCTCATAGTCCTTATTAGTCAAAATGTTGCAAATGTTCTGTCCCCTGTTATGCAATTGATGCCGACTTTGAAGAGAGTTTCTAATATCTTTGAAGACGCCGCGTCTATGACAGACGTGTTTAAGTCGTTAGATACACCGTACCGTATTTAGAAATAAGAGAAGTTAGCGTATGGAGAAGACATTTTTCCATATTGTTTATTCTGATTAAAAATTAATGTATGTACCATAAGATTTTGTACTGTACGTGTGTACTGTGTACGTCATGCATATAAGTAATAGATCTAATTATAAAATGCCTCGCAACTGTCGAGAATGTTGGTTGTTGCTGCTGTAAAAGGGCAGCATTTTTAATATTCTCGTTGAAGTTCAAACAGTTATTATATGTTTTGTAAAACAACTGAATATTTTTTGCGTTGAGCGGAACTTCAGCTATTCGCGTTGTTAAACATTATTATTGTGCACATACTAGTAGTATGGCACTGGTATGCACGACTGCATACAGGGTGGAATTTTGTAATGCCACCTGGAGGGAAAGTAGATAGAACTCAAAGAAAACATTCTTTTATTTTTGAAAAGAAACAGAACTGCATTCAAACATTTTCGAAAATTTTACGAAAATTTACCACCATACCATACAATTTTCTGTAAATAATAACAATAATTTAAGATTTCATGGTTTTCCTTTCATTTGATTTATCAAGTTTGTTCGAGAGCTTTCATCCTTAATCTTAACCCTAACGATCGATGCAATAAAAATACAGGGTGTAATTTTTAACAGATTTTAGTTGGTTCGATTTCCGGGTGTAGCAGGTAAATTTTTAGAAATCATTGAATGCAGTTATATTTCTATTCAAAAATAAAGGAATGTTTTCTTTGAGTAAAATTTTCTATCTACAGTATTAAGAGTAGGTACTTTCCCTTCAGGTGGCATTACAAAATTCCACCCTGTATATTGATGTACACTGTGGTAACTTAGCACTATACGAGTAGAAAGATCGATTTTGAAAAAAAAAATGTGTAGGTATAATTAACCAGTTGAATATCAGTTTGTATAATCAAAATTTTTCACATTCACAAGTGCTGATACTTTATCGATATTTAATAAGGTATCTTTCAGCATATTTTTAAATTTCCGCGATTGTTATCAAATTATTCGCCTGATTAAACATTTCAAATTATAATATCTACCTAATGCCGAGGATTTAAATAATTATAAAACTAGTTCGTACTGATAGTTTCTATATTGATTTGTCATGACACGCGCACGGCATAGTCAGAGAGATGTGACAAAGCAAATTAAAATAATCTAATCACTGTCATGATACGGATGAATACAGTTAAGGTATTAGAGACACGAGGTATATTTTAAATCTACCTATTCTGGCCGAAGTATTATTATTTGTAAAGTCCAGGAGGTAGAGTCTGGGGTACATTTTATTTCTATTCTTTGGTAGATCCGTCTCTCTTTTCTATTCAAATCAAAATTTTAATTATGTAAGTACTTACCCCCTTACTAATAAAACTTACACACTCGTTGAACACTGTTTTAAAGTAACGTTTAGTATGGAAATATCATTTTAAAACAGTGTTCAACAAGTGTGTAACTTTTTATTAGTATGGGGGTTGGAATCCTACTTTATTACATAGGTACTCGTATTATCACAGAATACTTAATAATAAGTGTATTATCCCATTAACTTTTAATGAACAGCAGGCATGCCACTTTTCATTATGTAGGCCTATCTATTTTATAAATAGGAACGTCAACTATGTACCTATCATCTTGAAGTAGTCGCTTATGTTGTAGTTATCATTTAAGTGGTCACGTATGGATTATCTGAAGTGTTCAATGTAAGATTTGTTTGTTTACATTGTCAAATAATTGATTAGAAGAAGGGTTAGAATTTTAAAAATATCTTTAGCATCTCGTGAAATGGATTTTGCTATGGGTTTCTTTCTAACATTTTCCTTAGTTTTCTTACATGCAACTCTCTTTTGTACTAACACAAAACATCATTTCTTCCGGTTAAACTACAATGACTTCTAAAATTAACCAAATTATCGCTTTTTGTGAGGATTGAGCTGCATTCTGCTTTCATTTCTGTTTCAGCCACATCTGTGATGTTCTTCTCTTTTTTGACTGACCACTAACCGCAGACATACTACAGACGCAACATGCAAAGTCAAGGCTTTTATTACATAATGCCAATTATTAGATTACACACTGTACAAGTGCTGGACGTTTAGCGATACATTAACATTGTCCAGTTATCAATAACAATAGATATGCAAGCACTCAGTCGCCGACAGATAACGCGTCCCGCGTCGTTGCACGCTCTTGATAAAGTTTCAGCAATAAATTGGGCGGAAAATGTTTTGTAAGAGTCATTAAAGAGCCGATTGTAGTAAAATTTAATCTTTATTTGTTTTACGTGTGAGATTTACTTGAGGATTGTCACGGACACATGACGATTCTGTATAAAACGATTTCATGTTCAGTTGTCAGTACTTAATTATTAGCCTTTTGGTCATTGCAGCTTAACAATTTGTCATAGCTGGGCATTAACTCGTTAATCCGTTAATCGTTAATTAACGAAGTTAACATTTCTATTAACGGATTAACTTTTAAGTTAACTTTAAAAAATGTTAACGGACTCGTTAACTTCCGTTAAATTATCCTAAGTCCGTTAATCGTTAATCCAGTACTAGTCCAGTCAATGAATTCCTTAAGACGACGGTGTAGAGAGAAATCCGTGGAACACAATTTCTGACCTCGGGACTTTATTTAGCCTAGTTAGGTGGTGAACATAGCAAAAGTCCCTGCCATTAGCCCTTGAGCCGGCAGGGAGAGGGGGGTTTAAAGGTACCACTTTTCGGTTTTTCGCTTAATCCTCGGAAACTATGCTTCCTAGTGACATGACTACTATGAACCAAAAAAAGCTTATTTAATTTGCTACAGGCGAGACCGTCAAGTTTTTCTATATCTTGTATAGTTTTTGCGGCATTTGCTCTAGAAGGTCTGTAAAATTGGAAATTTAATTTTTGTCTTACATGTTCCTATCAGGAGAAAATCGACTAAATCAACATTGAGCAAACACTATAGACATGCGGGAGCATGTTAAGCCTAGTTCCAGGGAGGGGACTGCACCGTGCGTATATTTAGACGAACCAATTGGAGCCACTTTTGACTCCTTATCATTCAAAAACTACTGTGCATTAACTCTTCAAATTTGGCTCATGTATTGAGACTTGCAAGATATACATCAGCTTTAAATTTTATAATAATAACTAATAATAATAATAATAACTTTATTTATTTCTCTCTTTACAAAATACATAAAGTCACAATTTGTAACGGGTAATTATAACAACAAGGAACAAAAATAAGTATTTCGTAGAGACTGGTGTCCGTACTAGGATACCCTGTGCTACAGCACACCAGGCCTCCACCACCGGCTAATCGATACTGCGTGGTTGTGTTAATCTATTTAAGGTAAGTATTTTATATTAGAAACAAACTAAAAATAAAATAAAAAAATAGAATGATAACATGTGATTTACATAAATATTACATCAAACGGTTATTTAGGTATTGACGTTCAAAAATCGACATTTAGAACACTAAAATCTATCTATCACCTGTGAAATGTTAAAATTTACTGGTTTTTTATTTGTTCCTTTGTATTTACATAACTACCTTTCTGGATGCCAAATTTGAACCTTCGAGGTCATCTGGAAGTGGTTAGAATTTGGTCTATAGGGCAGACATGTATATTTTTGGACGTCAATACCTAAAGAACTGTTTGAGGCATATTTATGAAATTTGAAGCTGATGTATATCTTTCAAGTCTCAACACATGAACCAAATTTGAAGTGTTAATGCACAGTAGTTTTTGAGTGATGAGGAGTCAATAGTGGCTCAAAGTGGTTCGTCTAAATATACGCACGGTGCAGTCCCCTCCCTGGAACTAGGCTTAACATGATCCCGCATGTCTAGAATGATTGCTCAATGTTGATTTAGTCGATTTACTTCTGATGGGAACATGTAAGACAAAAATAAAATTTCCAATATTACAGAACTTCTAGAGCAGATGCCGCGAAAACTATACAATTTATCAAAAAAGTTGACTATCTCACCTGTAGCAAATTGAATATGCTTTTTTTGGTTCATAGTAGTCATGTCACTAGGACGCATAATTTCCGAGAATTAAGCGAAAAACCGAAAAGTGGCACCTTTAAACCCCCCTCTCCCCGCCGGCTCAAGGGCTAAGGACGGGGACTTTTGCTAAGTTCACCTCCTAACTAGTCTAAATAAAGTCCTGAAGTCAGAAATAGTGTTCTACAGTTTTCCATCTATAATGCTTTATTGACTGGACTATACCTACTATTTACCAAAAGCACGCTGAAAAACGCGTTCTGACAAGTAGGTAGCTACGTTCGGGCTTTCAGAACTTTTAGAACCCAAAACAACAGTTTTTTTAACCAGATCACTAACGAACGACTCTTGCAACTGAATTTAAGACCAGTTTTCCTCAACCGATTGAGCTGAAATTTGGTTTACTTATGTAAGTACGATGACAATGCAATGTTATGGTACCATTGAGCTGGTCTGATGATGGAGTCATGAGGTGGCCATAGGAACTCCTAAATGAAACGGCGGCATCGCATCGAATTTGGGTTCGTTGGATTTGTCTTTTCGAGCACTTTAGTACTAGATGATGTCCAGGGTCCTGATGATGGAGTCAGGAGGTGGCCATAGGAATTCCTAAACGAAACTGTAGAAACTTATCGAGTTTGGGTTTGCTGGATTTGTCTTTTCGAGCACTTATTGTAATTGAACCAAGGCTCTGAGATTGAGATACTACTACTAAAAAGTGTAAAAAAAAAAAGATAATAATTAAAAAACTTTTTTAAAAACGAGCTTTTATTAGGACCTATCCAACGATACCCCACACGATGGGGTCGAAGATGAAAAAAAAATCATCCCCACTTTACATGTAAGGGAGCTACCCTAAAAAAATTTTTTTTTTACTAAATTTTATTCTACCGTTTTTCCGGCGTGATTAATATACAACAAAATTACAGCTCCCTAGTGCCAATAGTTTCCAAGCAAAACCTCGGACAGACAGACAGACATATCGAAACTAGGGTTCCTTGTCAGGACTACGGAACCCTGAAAAAGAGGAATAAATTCCATGCGCGATACAAGCTTTCGAAGTTATTTGAACCTTGCATACAATAATTTTTTTCGTTTTATTATCATGTGTTAACGGATTAACGATTAACGTTAACTTGCGTTAAATCTTGTGAAATGTAACGTTTTAACGTTTAACGAAGTTAATTTTTTTATTAACGGTTTAAATATTAACGAAGTTAACTATTTGATTAACGGTGCCCAGCTATGCAATTTGTGAATGAAAATGATTTAGAGAAGCTACTGACCAGGATGATTCTTATTTTAGGAACACTTGATTAATATCGTCTTGATTTGACTCTACTATTTACCTTCAAATGTTAACATGATTGCGACAAGCTTTGCTTAGTACTATACTTTAATGTTAAGAATGTTAATTCATCAATGGAAGTTGGAAGTGAAGCATCTACGTTATTACGAGTACTACACCAACTCTAACTTGACCAGCAGCATGGGCACTCCCGACGAGGTGGCGCGGTACTCGCTGGCCGACGTGAAGGCGCGCACGGGCCGCAACGGGAGCGCCGTCTGGATCGTCTACAGGGACTCCGTCTACGACCTCACCAAGTACCTGGATGAGGTTCGTGCGATTATCCTGTACTAGCCACAAAAGGGGCTCACTCTGAGCTTGCTAATAATGTTGCACCTGTTTGAACTATCAATGTGAATCGAATTATCAAGAAACTTGGTAAGTAACTACTGAAAAGTTTACGCTTGGCATGAATTTTTCTTTGCAGGCTCTACGGAACTATGAGATTGTTTTTAAGATATACTTACTTATGAACTATTTAAATGATTAGTGGTAAAAAAGGGATAAATAAAAGAAAAACACTTATTTACATTAATTTTATTTTATTTTTCTTTATTCAGAAAACCATAGCTCTTAAATAATAATAATACAAACAGGTATTTTTGTTCTAATTTTTTATAAATTTGTTTGTATTAATGCTGAGAAGTGGTAGGAAAATCGACAAGTACCAACGTTGTGTAAAATGATAATCTTAAAAAACTTGTGTTCATCTAGAAAATGGACACTAAAATACCATTATTTGTCAACCTGTAGCATGCCTACGTGTTGTACTATAATTTTAAATATTGCAGCCCAACACCAGCAATTGTAACTTATTTTGAAATAATGCAGTACATGAACTCCCGACACAGTGAGTTATTATTATCGCAATCGTTCCAGCACCCCGCGGGCGGCGACGTGATCCTGGAGGAGGCAGGCACGGACGCCACCAAGGCCTTCGACGAGTCCGCGCACACGCCCGACGCCAAGACCATCATGGCCAAGTACAAGATCGGGGAGCTCGTGGAGGTGAATACAATCATTCACTCTTTTCAATTTTTTCCTAGAATATTAGTAATTTACTAGCGGCCGCCCGCGACTTCGTACGCGTGGATCCCGTTTACCCGTTTGACCCCCTGCATCTATCTTACGCGGTTTAGATTTTTTCATACAAAAGGATTTTCCCGCTAATTCCTGTTCCCGTGAGAATTCCTAAGTATACTATAACCTACCCGGGAGTATGAAGAATAATTGTACCAAGTTTTGTTAAAATCCGTCGAGTAGTTTTTGTTTCTATAAGGAACATACAGACGTACAGATTGTCAAAAATTTTACTGATTGCATTTTTGGCATCAGTATCGATCACTAATAACCACTGATAGTTATTTTGAAAATATATTTCATGTACAGAATTTACCTCTCTACATTTATCGCACAAATAAAATACTTAGGCTGGGTTGCACCACCTAACTTTTAACGGCAACTATGACGATAACCAGTGCTTTTTGAATGGAGTTTGACAGATTTTTGACGTTTGTCAAAGTAAAACTAAGATGGTGCAACTCAGCCTTAGTCTCGTTTACCCACCCCTTATAGTAACGGGACTATTCCCACCTCTCTTTCCCATCGCCGCAACTCTGTGTACCCAGATCTACAGCTTGACCGCCAATAAAAACATCTGTGTACCCAGATCTACAGCTTGACCGCCAATAAAAACATCTCGTGGTAAGCTAAATAATGCTTGTGTTACTAGTGCTGGACGTAAACCTCCTTCAAAGAACGCTACAAACATGAATTCTAACCACTTTCCCAAGATCATCGGCCCATCAAGCAGGTACATTTGCCGAAACGTCGCGGCAGAGGTCTCTTAGTAGGGTGATTAGTAAGTTCGAATTTTAACGCCTAGATTTGATTCCTCGACGAGGCAAACAAAATGAGAGTAAAGTTAGTCAAGCAGAATATTTAGAATATCAAACTAAAGCCACACTAACGAAAGCTCTGATGTATGAGAACTACTTAGATTCTAGTTGAAGATAAAAGAAGGGTGAGGGTGGATCCTATTACCTAATGCCAACGCCAATTCCTAGTTCGCAGAAACAGCCTTTAACATCTTTCAGTTAATCTCGCGTATATGGCTCGCAGGACAAAGAGCCATTTATTTATCCCTAGTCCCGGGGCTAGACTTCCCTTCCGCGTAACTCAAGAAGAGTGAGATTAAGAGTGCTCCTCTCAAAAGAATACTATGATAAGACATAACGGATTCAGTATTCCATTTACAGTCAGTTCAGTGTAGATTTATTATCACACACTATACCTACCTACGTGTCGAATTAATTACCTCTTTTTTGGAGTCGGGTAAAAAGTAATTAAGATTCTTATCTCAACACCTTCATTGTAATCACATTTATTGTAGGGTATGTATAGAATGAGATAATAAAGCGTATATTTTTTTATTGCAATAATATTGGATGCTTTTGAATTTGCAAGGGTGGAGTACCTTGGCCTCTTGACTACGCGTTTAGGACCGTTTCCCTGATAGAAAACAAAAGGCTAATAATGACGTAAGGACATCATGATTACTGTAAGTGGCGGGGAGGGGGATACGCCATCTGGTGGCGAAAGGGTGTTTAATTCACTCCGTGAAAAGGGTCACTGAGAAGTATTCACTCCCTTACAATACAAGGCTTTGAAGGCTTGGTACTTTTTTTTAATAAATAGTAAAAAGATTTCATTTGTATAAAAGTTCTGTTTTAAATTTGTGTTTAATCCATTTCTAGGCATATACTCGTAATTGAAAAACCTGATACATACTTATTCGTATATTTTACATGAAATTACATAATCGATCTTCTATCTGATTTCAGGAAGAGAAAAGGTACGACGCAAACGGCAAGAAGAAGAAGAAGGTTGTCAAAGCGGAACCAGAAGAGAACAGAAGAAGTTGCATAAGCATCATCACTTGTGGGCTTGCTGGATAAAGCTGAGCCTACAATTTAGATTCACGTTGGAAGAACCCGGATTTAAAATAATTGACGCAAAAGTTGTACAATTGAGAGGCTTTACTTAAATTATGTAGGTTAAATTAACATTATTTCAGTGCTCGACTGCAAAGAACGTGTAAAAGGATGCATTTTGAATTAATTAAGTTGATACCTAGAACTACTATTTATTTATGAGTAGTAGTTTTGTGTGTTTTTAAAAGCTTTATATTGTTTAATATTAAGTGGAATTTTGTGTTGTGATTCAAATCTGATAAATTATTATTTAAGAATTAAAATTATAAATTAAATCTATGTTGATATAAAAAACATGGGAGATTTTTTAAAACTGTGTTGGTATCTAATCCATCATCAAAAACCGTATAATTCTCAAATAGTTTATGTGTGAAAGAGTCAACAAACATTCATCCATCGTCACAATTATTTAATTTCTTATTAGAAGGATTGGAATACATTTAATAATATTTCCATAATACCTATACTTATTGCTTTAGCTCTTAGCTCAGTCAGCGAACATTAATCCAGTTGTGTTAGTTCCCACAATAGCCGTTATTGGAAGTGCAGAGGGTGCTTCGAGCGCCGCGTGCGACGCGGAGGCAATATCGCGGCAGTTGGCGTAACACTTCATTTTAACATTACTAGGGACTAGTGCCGACTCCGTCTACATAATTGGTTGTTTCAGCTTCTAAGGGTCATGACTTGAGAAGCAATTTTTTTCATTTGAACTACTGTTACAGATGCGTACCTAATTCGTAATTCCATATTTGACTGCGGGTAATGAGTGTCATAATATCTCAGATTCTAGACTAAGTACGTAAAGTCGTACTATAGTGGAAGAGTTGTTCAGAATAATAACTAGGGTCCATTCCTCATTCTCTGCAATTGACTGACAATTTATTAATTGAAAACCGAATGGATCACACTCATTGATACGTTTTTGTCATTTATTAATTTAAGACTGTTGCACACAATATCAGGATACAAAATGCGAACTTAATGCCATATCGCATTCTCTTCCAGTCAACCTTTGGGCCAAGCAGACAATTATAGTAGGCGGCACTTGCCATTGCAAAGAAATAATTACCTATTATAATATTATTAAGGCAACACAGGAGCCTCGAGCCCTCGACAAAAAACTTCAAGAATGAAAGAAAATTACGTTATCCCTGCATGAATAGAAATCTTTTTAATGGTTTGTGCATAATGTCTGGATCGTGCTCCTGCATATTTTATAAGGAATGAAATTATGTTATGAAAATGTAGCTACTTATTATGTAAGTATTACTGGCTCAGAGTGTGGGGTGCTTTTTTTACTTGTGTCATAATATTCATAATAATATTTGAAATATTTCTTAGATGGAGGTCCCTCTTTCCCACTCTCTGGGCATTTTGGGCACGTGTCATCAGGGTCTCACGATCGAGAGGGCCCCGACTGCTCCAAACAAAATAATGTGATTTATGTAAACAGATTTATTTCTCATTTTTAAGGAATGTAGTATCCCTTGATCCTTTGTACGTTAATTTTATATACCCGATGTACGTTATNTTTTTTTATTTCTGTAGGTATTGCACCGAGAGAGTTACTTCTTGTTCTTTCAAACATACTGGGATGAAATGTTTGTTGTATTAAATTATGTGTTTTGTTTGTGTTAGGGGCTTTTGCATTTTGAGAAATCATATGGCTCCCACGAGTATGGGGGAAAACATGTTTGCTGCCAGTAGTATTCACTGTAATGGAAGCCTGGTCGCCTACTTCCATTAAGTCTTCGGTAGCTAATTTCACACTCTCCAGCCCGGGTACCAGAGAGCGCCGGGGGTTAGCCGGATCGCATGACGTACTAACTCGCTCATTATTTGACATTTCCATAAAAAGGGGTTTGGGAGATAACACAATACTACTTTCCCAAGGTAGCATTGCAGCTATTTTAGGGGGCTAAGTGGTTAAGGTTTAAGGTTCAAAGTCACTTGAAGAAATTTAACGTTTCGTCTCAGGTTGATGTGTGGTCGACCCTAAATAAGACGGGTCATTCCATGACAAATGTTACCGAGGGTGAAAACTAAATATGTTCTTTTCGCATTAAATCTGATGGATTTTGAAAGTAAACATTCCAAATTATAATGTGCAACAAAAAAAATCTGAAAGAAACAAGTAATTTTTAAGTTATTAGTCTTCAAAGTCTATACTTAAGTCAACTGTCTGAATGATCATTTTCTCTCTAATTATTGGTAATACGATTTAAAAAAAACTATCAATCTGTGAAACGTTTTGCCACTATATGATTCGAGGGTATTTATCATAGTATTGGTAGATAGCGTCATAGTCCCAAAAAAAATGGATAATTATCAAGTTTTAAGTATGTTTTCTTGTTAATTCGGCGATGTAACACCCGAAACAGAAAAACAGGTATTTGTTTTATTATTGTACCTTACACATGGATTAGGGTAACAATATTTGGTAAAAGTAAAGCCATGGTAGTAATGATTTCAAATACTAACTAATATCTGAGCATGATACTAATTTAGTATGTTTCTTTCTTGATTAAAACTGTAACACCCGAAACGTTTCGGGTATTACATTTTTATTTGTATGTCGATAATGTGTGTATATTGCTTGGAGAAGTGAAAAAGTATTACTGTGAGAGTCCTTTGACCGCCCACTAGCGCTGGCATCGGAAAAGGAGTCATATTTCTCAATTTGAGACTTTTTTGAAATGTCGACTTAACACTAAAATTAAGGTATTGCTAAAAAGTGTCGATGTTTAACATTTCCAATAAATATCGTAATTATAGATGACTCATCGTTACTATCCTGTGAAATAATCGAAGCGAGAACATTTAGATTGGTAACTTGGTCCCTTAATTTTCGCGCGTGTAAATCAACTAACAGTTTGAAATGGCTTAAAAAGTCTGCCCCAATAATTGGCTGCTTTACGTCCGCTATAATGAAAGTCCATCTAAATGCTCTCCTTAGATTTAAATTTAAAACAAGAGTACGCGTACCATATGTCTTAATTTCAGTACCATTTGCAGCATATAACTTATAATTACAATCATCTGAAAGAAGACACACACTTTTTAACTGCAGGAATCACAGATACGTTGGCACCCGTATCAATTAAAATTTTAGTCTGCTATTTCGGTCGAAAACACAAAGGCGGTTATTATGCGATTCGATACTTGCCCCCGCCACCGGCTGTATCGCGTCTAGTTTCCCTGCGTAGATGTCGGTTTAGCCCCCTTCCAATTGCAAGGCTCGACGCACTTCACAGCCTTAGCACGGTAACGGTGATGATAAAAACATGACCAATTTGGTTTTTTTCGGGACTTACTCACGTCACGCTGACCCGATCGACTTGTTCTCCCTCGCGCAGTTGAGCTTTCCTGTTGTTGAGGTNCTTGTCGATACTTGCCCCCGCCACCGGCTGTATCGCGTCTAGTTTCCCTGCGTAGATGTCGGTTTAGCCCCCTTCCAATTGCAAGGCTCGACGCACTTCACAGCCTTAGCACGGTAACGGTGATGATAAAAACATAACCAATTTGTTTTTTTTCGGGACATACTCACGTCGCGCTGACCCGATCGGCTTGTTCTCCCTCGCGCAGTTGAGCACTCCTGTCGTTGAGGTGTTCTGGACCGGCGTAACTCAGCAACTTCCACTTGCAGTCGGTTAATCATTTCCGATAATTCGTGAATGCTTCCCGGCGTGGAGGTTTTCATTTCGGCTATTTCTGTATATTCTGGCCTGGTTGCCTCCATAACCTTGTCCGCCACCGTTGCCAAGCTCTCCAAATCCTTGACCTCGGTGACAGCAAGAACAGCCTGAACTGCCGACGGCAAGTGTCTGGTCCACATTATTTGTAGCGTGGAGTCTGGTAGTTTGTTTCTAGCCAAGTCTCTCATCCGACGGAGAAGTTGCGATGGCTTTTGGGTGCCCAGTTCCATTTCCCCCAAAAGCTTTTGAAATTGCCGCGTCTCAGACTCTTCAAACACTTGTAACAGACGGTCCTTCAATGTCTGATATCGTCATTCTTGTGGTGGTGACAGCAGCAGGTCGCTGACTTGCTGTATGGCAGATTTGCTGAGTTTTGTAACGACTAAGTTTTGTTTTGTTACATCACCTAGTCGTTGCGATTCTATTACGGCCTCAAATTGGATAACCCAGAGTCGCGGTTGGTCTGACCAAAAATCAGGTATCCTTGACGAAACACTTATACTCGCCAAAGTATCCGTCTCCGTTAAAGAAGGCGCCGGCGTATTAGGCGCGGCGTAAATAGGTGCGGGTCCGTCTTGAGGATTCATATTCACAACTTGCACTGTCCCAAACGTAAAAAAAAATGTTCAACTGGCGTCACCAATGTACGTATACCTAATGATCACGTCGGGGTCACAAATGTACGTTAATTTTATACCCGATGTACGTAATTATATTAATATACGTTATGTTCAGGTATATTATTGTTGTTGTCCACTTATAAGTAATGTCCACTTTATAAGTTAAATCCACAAAACGTACGTCAGAAGGTTGGAACAGTAAAACATGTGATTTCTTTAAAGGTGTAATTGCGACTAAAATAAAACTGGCGGGCTCAGCCGCCGACACATACAAGGAACAGTATAACTATTGTTGATTGTATTGGGCAATGATGTGGGAACGCAGGACGCTACTCAATACGCTCTGTTCATTCATAAAGTTAATTTATTACTCTGATTAATGTGTACCTACATAAATGCTATTTCAAGCCAAAAACAATAGAAAAAGCTATATTCTGAGGAAAAATTAAACTTGAACTTTGTATATTTAAAAAAAAAGTTGCTTCGTAATTTCAAACCAGAATTCGCTCTATTTGTGTTTATTTGTTGTACTCCTTATTTTGTAGTACCTAGAGACTAATAAAACACCGATTTTATCGATAAAACGCGTTGAATTTTCGTACTCGTAACACCCGAAACAGAACCATTGTAACACCCGAAACAAAGAAAAAAATTATAAAAAAATAGTAAAACGTTTTATTTGACAGTGATTGTATGTTACATGGTTTGTAAATGTCATACTTTAGAAGTCCTGTAAGTTTTAGGTATGATTCCTTAAGAAAATTCGCTAAATTTCGAGTAAATGCAGCAACAGTCAGAACATAGAGGCAAAATCTCGTAACGCCCGAAACGCACACTTTTCGACTCATATTTTCGTTATCTTACATTCTAAGCTGTACAAACTTTATTATTTAGATAAAACAACTAAAAACGGACAAATTAAGGCACTAACATTATTAAAATACTATTTCAAAATACATGAAATTGTTGAATATGTGTGTACGAACGTAACACCCGAAACGATGGAATGACCCACACGCAAATAACAGGTCTATTGATGGGTTGGCGAGTTTTTTATTCTAAGTTATTTCTGACGAACATTTACGTCGACTTCCTGTCTATGAGTCACCTAAGCTACAAGCTACGTCATTTTAGAATTAGATACGCTCTATGATAAAATCTTATTAACGATTTTTTACGACTAATCTATGGGCTTATCGCACAAAATCGATAAAATGCCTCGATAATATTTTATCAATTGGTAACATTCAAATGGAATCTATTGTAAATTTTTCAGAAATTATTAACCGGGAGATGGGGCTGACATACCCATGTCGCACGACCCAATCAGACCTGAAGTTCGAGCAGAAGTTCTACGGTTCGCTACACGTTGTTTATAGGATGGAGAAGCTCCACCAGCTGACTCAACATAAAGGCTGTGTGAATTCCATAAATTTTCACCCACAAGGTTTGTATGAATCCATTACATTGACTTGAAAATCTTTATTCATCTTTTGACCTTGTCACCACTGCGCTGGGGTCGAATAACAAATGCCTAAAGACATCTTAATATGACAACATATTTAGACAAAAATAATAGCTACATAGCTGTAAAACATCATTTTTAAAGATGTTGCACTTCATAGAACTACCTTTCTAACAAAAAGAAAGTTGCAAAACTCGTCGCACGCGTTCGCGCTACACTGCGCTGTCCATACTATTTTTCTAAAGCCTCTGGTTCGTGAGCACGTAGAATTTTGTCCAATGACCCCAAGCTACCCATCCATATCGCTCGCGCGTAATCATGTTGCTGTCGCGCTCGCACACTCACTGCGGGCGCGCGTCGCACACGTTTGTGAGCACGTAGAATTTTGTCCAATGACCCCAAGCTACCCATCCTTAACGCTCGCGCGTAATTATATTGCTGTCGCGCTCGCACACTCATTGCGGGCGCGCGTCGCACAGTCGCGTTGGACAAAATTCTACGTGCTCACGGACCAGGCTTTATATAGAAACGTATTCGTGCGCCCACGCAAGTTAGCATAGACTGTTAATGTTACAGCCCTGTGTATATGTCGCCGTAAAATTGTGAATTTCGTCAGATTATAATCTGACGTAGTTAAATTACGATCTAACCTAACCTAACCCACTGTTTGTTTACAATCTAACGCGTTATATTATAAACTGACAGAGTTCACAATTTCACGTTGACATATCTACTTCATCTGGTCTCCAGGCCACCTTCTGGCGTCGGGGTCGGACGACATGAACGTGGTGGTTTGGGATTGGGCGCGCAACCGGCCGCTGCAGACGCTGCGCACGGGACACAAGTCCAACGTGTTCCAGAGCAAGTTCCTGCACCTCAACGCACAGAGCCAGCTCAACATAGTCACCTGCGCTAGGGACGGCCAGGTGAGCGACTGTCGCCCTTGTTGCCGTAAGGACACGTGGCGGTGACTGGGCACGGGACACAAGTCCGACGTGTTCCAGAGCAAGTTCCTGCACCTCAACGCACAGAGCCAGCTGAACATAGTCACCTGCGCTAGGGACGGCCAGGTGAGCGACTGTCGCCCTTGTTGCGAACGCCGTAAGGACACGTGGCGGTGACTGGGCGCGCAGCCGGCCGCTGTAGGCGCTGCGCACTTAAGATTCTTTGTTTGTACCAAAAACACATGTGGTGGAAGAAGGGATGGATGAAAGGGAACGGAATCTGGAAATCATTGGAAGAGACCTATATTCGACATTGGACGTTCTGTGGCGGAAATGATGATGATGGCAGTGGCAGTGGGGGCAGATTTTTCTGTTCGGTTTGGTTGGTGGTAGTAGGGCTTGTTCTAAAGTCCGTCTGGCTAGCTACCACCATCTTACCTAAGTTTGTCGCTATAACAACAATGTTAATAGCATTGTTGTGTTCCGGCAGTTAGAGGTAAGATAGCCAGTTCCTCGGGTGGTTGAGGATTCCGGGTGAAGCTCGCTTCCACCTTCGGCCTGATCGTCACTTACCATCAGGTGAGATACAGGCCAAGACCTTTCTCGCTGAGGATAAAAAAAACATTCATCTGTCAGCGCTGACGATCAACAAAGTGGTCACGCTATTTTAATAAAAAAAATCTATGTGAATGTACCTTTGCATTGTATCGCTATAACTATGTATACTATAGTCTGGTCCGTGAGCACGTAGAATTTTGTCCAATGACCCCAAGCTACCCATTCTTATCACTCGCGCGTAATTATGTTGCTAACGCGCTCGCACGCTCACTGCGGGTGCCAGTCGCACAGTCGCGACAGCAATATAATTACGCGCGAGCGATAAGGATGGGTAGCTTGGGGTCATTGGACAAAATTCTACGTGCTCACGGACCGGGCTTTAGAGGGGTAGTGTAGAATGTCCAAGGATATTTATTATCTATATACAGTCGTGGTCAACTAATTAGGGACAGATAGAATACTAAGCAATACTAAGTGTTCATATCTTATTATTGTGAGCTTCATTCAATATTACTGGCTGTTACTTTGTAAACATATTGACTATCAAGTACTTTATTTAACAGAATACAATAACAACAAAAAAACTTACTAACTTAATAAAAAATCTTAATCAATTCACATGAANGTACCTACATCCTTTAACTCCCACGCCCAAGTAGGATAAAGACGGTCCTCGCTGGAGATCATAATTCAACGGGAACAAACGAGAAATCAGTTATTGCAATGATAAAATTAATTGTTAATCTTTGTTCAATGTACTTTATTTTTAAGCCATGATTTGCAATCTGTTGCTGTACCTTAATAAATAAATAACCCCATTTTCAGCAATTTCTTGAACTAACCTACCTGCTATTGTTTTTATACTTAACTACTTAATTATTATTATTATAGGGTCTTATAGTGACATCTAATGGTCTAGTATAACATCTAAAGAAGTGATAGGAGTCATCTATCGCATGTACAGTGAATCACTTCGTAAAAGCCTTGCTAGATATACCCAGACAATTAGGTATTAAAAAAGTTCGCTAGATGGCGCTGTTTCGCAACGACAACCTTTTTGACCGACTGCAGAAAAGGTGATGAAGGTTTATTTAAAATGAGATTTTTATTAATAAAATTTTTGATCTTGTGATACCTACTCATTATCTCAATGATCACTTATGTTAGCATGCGATAGTTATTGAAAAAGAAAATTATTGCCATTGTTGTATGATCTTCACTACATAATCCTTCTACAAGTCAGATAAAAACGTGCAAAATTATATATATATACTCTGTGGAAATCATTTGAAATCCAATAGGAATTTTATGAATCCAAGAATTTTAAGAAACATGCCAATTATGCAAGTTTTATTAAAATCAATTCATAACCAGTGGAATAAGCCCATGTTACACACATACTAGGTCCTATATTTAATTCAGCAACTTTATCAATGCCTAGTAATAAATTCTCAAGGTCTGTTTGCAAAATCTGTCTGCTAGTGGAAGCAACCGAATAGGTATTAATTTGGGGCTGTTATATAGTGCATTATGACGTGGCAGTTGAAATTTGGAATTCATGTTGTCTCTATCTTCTCAAATGCCAACAATACCACAATACATAGAATAGGTATATTAGATGTAATTACTTTTTCGCAATGGTAGGTATGCAACTAAATGAGGTTAAGGGGTCAAATAGCTACCTGTTCAAACTATTTATTTTCTTAGTTGCACTATGACAAATGAAAGTCGCACTTATCCAAATCGTTTATTCAAGCAAATGAACATAATATGAACAAACTATAACATTAAATTTATCTACTTAATGATATTTACATTCCATACCTCGCTTACTTCAGTACTGATTAATCTACAATACATAACTCTAGGACGCTTATCCTATATTTTATAGAAATGCAGAATACCATTTCACAAGATCTCAATTTATTGTTGTATCAATGAATTAGAAAATATAATCAAATATTACATTTGACACAATCTTGTGACCTAATACAATCTGATTACATTATAGGACTTACCAAACAATATTCTGCATTTTTATGTCAATTATTTCTTACAGAACAATTATTGATAAATTATTTATCAATAACATTGTCATAGTTAATTTTATGCCCATTTGTTGATGTTTTTGAGTACAGTGACATGATACAATGAGGCGGGCACAAGTTCACATGTCATTAGTAAAAGGCATCATTATTGCGTTGACCGGCTGCCAGGATCCACCGTCCATTGAAATAGCCTCAAGTGACTGGGTACAAGAGCAGACATGTGAAAATAGGAACAGACAGCTTCACCCACAGACAACCATCAAAAACACCAAATGGAACATCAACAACATTGTCATTATAAAACTTAAATAGTGCTTATGTTGAAATTCAACTATAACTAATAAACAGGCTGTATTCAAATGTTCTTACTTGCTGCACTCAAGCACCTCACTTTGTGACGTGCAGGACACTCATTGCACACCCATATTTAATAAAACTAGCTTTACTTTTACAGCTTCCAACTGGAAATAATAAGTTTAAACTTCATTTAAATATTAGTGAATAATGCTAGTGTTCATACAGCAAATAAAAACATAAGATACTTAATAATATATTAACTGTTGCATCTAATTCACCACACACTGTTTTTGTCCCACATGGTCAGGCACGTAGATTAAAACCAAATTACTGAAATGAAACTTTGACAGCTCTTTGGAAAATTAAGTCACGGAAGACTAATCAATGGAACAAAATTTCACAATGATATGTAATACAAAATTTTGTTCACAGTGGCCACAATCAAAGAATGAATTTAAGGCATCTACGAGGTATACCATCCATAAAAAATATAATTTTGAGCTTCATACACAATCTATTATTTTCTTCTATTAAAACATTATTAAAATCTATGTATATTATTATTTGATGTAATCCAGTTTACTTTAAAATCTAAGCATTATTCATAACTATGTAGACTGCACACAACAGGCACTTTAGCATAAGTTGGTTAAATAAAAATAGTAGTACATTTATCAAGATTTCTGTAACATTGAAAGTGCAGGAAATGATGTGCTTCACAAGACAAGATACAACAAACAGCTACAGCATGACAGATCATGAAATGGCTTCACTCAGTGTGTACATTAGACACGAATATTTAATTATATTCTATCAATAATATTAATTTTAAGAGAGTAAATAAAATATTTTAGAAAAACTCTATGAGGACACTTTCTACACAGACCCATGTAACATACAAAAACTCATATAACTATAATAATTATGATTTTAAAATATACTATCATTACAGTTCAACCGACTCACTTTAGTGTTTCACATTAAAATTTACATTCGTCATACCACTGCTGTTACGGCCGTCGCCACCGCGACCTCGCACGGACGGGCGCCACGAACACTGCAGTCCCGCGCCGGGAGCCGGCTCACTGCGGCTGGCTGGGCGGCGCGGCCTGGCTGGCCGACTTGGTGATGACGATGGTCTGCTTGCCGCCCACGCCCGCCTTGCCCAGCTGCAGCATGTTGGACGGCAGCGTGATGATCTTGTTCCCGCCCACCGTGTTCGCCGACACCAGCTTCACGATGGTGGCGCCGGGCGCGATGTTCTGCGCCTGCCCCGCGCTCGCCGGCGCCACCGCCCGGTTCTGCATCATCGCCATCTTCGGCACCGTCGCCACCGTCATCCCCGTCGACGTCTTCACCAGGGTCACGTACTGCGGCGCGTTGCTCGCTTGCGCGTTCGCGCCGGGCGTCTTCTTGATGATGACGGGGATGCCGGCGTTGCCGCCCGCCTGCCGCAGCACCGTGGTGCCGGCGGCCGCGCCCGCGGACGTCGCCACCGTCGCCGTCTGCTCGCCGGACTTGGCCGTCACGATCTTGTACACCGGCGTCTTCTGCCCGCCCAGCGCCCCGCCCGCGATCTGGATGGCGCCTCCGCTGCTCGCGATCACTGGCAGGTTGCCCGCGCCCAGTTTGACCGGCACTCCAGCCGCGACCTTGGTCTGCAGGTTCGCGACGCCCGCCTGTATGGGCACGCCGCCCGCCGTCTTCACTAGCACGTTGCTCGTGCCGATCTTCACGTTTCCGGCGCCGAGTTTTAATGGTACGTTCGTTGTGGCGACTTGACCCACTTTCTGTACGCTGTTCGTCGCTATCTTACCCTGCAAGTTGGCCGTGCCGATTTTCAGCGGCACCGCACCGCCGGCCAGTTTGACTGGGACGTTTCCCGCTCCCAGCTTGACCGGAACGGCGCCGCTCCCGCCAGTCTTCACTTGCACGAACCTAGGCGTGACCGCGCCGGCGGTACCGGAACTGAGGACGATCTGTGCGTTCGATTGCGCCGTCGACACTCGAACGGTTGTCGGAGTGGCGACACCGCTGACGATTCTGGTGACGCCTTGAGGAGTAACAGCGGCGACTTTGATCTGTTGCGAGGAACCTGGTGCAGGAGACTTGACCACAGTTTTGCCTTGATAAGTAGTGATTTTCTGAGTGGGCGTATGAGGAGATATTTTGACGGCGGTCGGTTGCGTCGGGACTTTGATAGGTCCGGAGACGATTTTTTGTGGCGTAGAGACGATCGGGGTGGCGACAGGCGACGCGGCGACCGCGACGGGCCGCGCGGGAATGTCCGCCGGCGTGGGCGGCAAACCGGTGGACACGGGCGACGTGAGACCGAAGGCTTTGCTGGCTGCGTCGGGCTGCGGGGTCACCGGAGACGCCGGCGGCGGCGCGGCCACGGGCTCGGCGGTGGCCGGGAAGCGCGCCGGGGTCACCTTGCCGCACTTCTGCACTTGAAGGACGTAAGTCGTGATGGTGTTCATCGCGGGCCAGCACAGCTCCAGCGACGTGGTGCCGGCGCGCACGAGCGCCACGCGGCCTGCTTGCGGCGGAACTCCGACTTCCAAATACCAAAGGTCTTTACAGCAGATTTGATTGTTCCAAGTTTTCCTGTATCCGTCACGTCCAGACCAAATGTACAGCCTTGTCTGAATGGCGACAGCGCTGTGACCGGCTCTAGCTCTAGGTACGCACTCTTCAAACTTATCCAATGCAATGTTATCCCATGTCATATTTTCTAGATTGAGTGATGCAAGAGTGTTAGTGCATTTCCATTCTTTTTCATGAGTGGCAAGTTTAGATTCATCAGGGACTAAAGGCACCCAACCTCCATACACGTACATGTGTTGTCCGATCACTGTTGCAGTGTGGAGGGATCGGGGAAGTGGTGCAGGCCCTCCAACTTCTGGACGTGACCAAGACATGCTGTCCACGTCTAGCACCCAGAGGTCACCGAGGCGAGATCCACTCATGCCACCATAAATAATTAGGGATGATTTGCCACTATTTTTGTCTGTGTAGGCCACACCACTGTGCGATTCCCGCGGTGGAGGTGACTGGCCATAAGTCAAAGGTATGTCCCATACCGTCATTGACGAATTGGGGTACAGTTCTAGAGTGTACAAGTCGTTGAGATACCTCGGAATATTGTTCTTGGGATCGTCACTTTCATTCGCCAGACCTCCAAAAAGGTAAACTTTCCCATTGAGTAGGGTGAAGCTGTGACCGAGTCTGGGGCACGGCGGGAGTCCCTGCTTGGGTGGTAGAGGCTTCAATCGCTTCCATTCCCACCGCGAGGCCTGCAGTTCGTACAAATCGTTAGAATACTTGCCGTACTCGACCATGCCGCCAAACACCAGAAGTCTCGTCCCGTCGACCACGAAACCGTAGGCAGCGCATCCTGGAGGCACTTCTCCCTTTGTGACGGGAACAAACCATTGGTTTGTGGTGGTGTTGAAGACGTGAAGCTCATGAACTATTCCTTCGTTTCCGCCGCCGAAAACTATCATCAAATCTTTGATGGCGACCGCGCGATGGCCATGCCGGGGACGTGGTTGAGGGCCGGTGGGATTGAAGACTTTTTGCCACTTAAGTACCGCGTTTTCCTTCATTTTTACTATACATTTGTCACTAAAAGCTTTACACCGTATGTATCGCTCGGGATGCGTATCTACAGCATAGACAATGAGAAACGTCGTAAATAAGCTTTGAAGAAAATATTCGGGTCACTTGCAGCTACATAGGAAGATCCAATTCATCTTTCTCTTTCCCACTTTAGTGTTTCGCCTATGAGTAAAAAAAGATCACCTTATGCAGCTTACAGCGTACAACAAAAATGGCGTTAGCAACAGCGCTACCAACCTTAAATAAATAATAAGATCGGCGTCGGACGTCAAGAAATTGTCTATGGGTGACTTTAGTTTTAAAAAAAGAAAAAATCAACCAGAATCATATTACAAGTTTGAACTCGTTATCTATATCGTTATTTATTCATTTACTGCAAATACCTATTTTTTCTTTTTCTTGCAAAAACTCATTTACTTTTAGGTTATTGCCAAATATTTTTTCTATAGCGATGGCTCCTACGTATACTGGCGTAAGTGAAAAAAAAAGATTTTACAGGAGAGCCATTTAAGTGGCCAGAACCATATTTTTGGGTCATATCTTCTGACTTACTGAAACGAATTTAATGAAATTTCACATTTAGCCTTAATATGTAATGCTTTTGCTACTGCTGTTATCAATTTTTATATTTTTCTTATATATTTTGAGATTTTACGCATTGCCCTTTTACGTCGTCATATTTTTATAATTTCATGTATATTGTTCAACGTAAAGAGACTTAAATGACAACGTAAATATAATATTTTAAGCGATTACTCTCTTTTTTTATGCATGTAATTATTTTAATTGTTATCATGTGCTATATCAATAAATAAATCAGTTAGAAAAAGTTGTTTAATGTATCGTTATTACGTTTAACAGCAATACGCCCATATACTGTGCTCGAGATTTAGTTAGGCCTTTTAACATAATGTGTCATATCTTTAAAAATTATAAATAACTTGAAAAAATCGAACTGCCTAAGGCGGGAATTAAACCCACGATGCCTTAGGCAGTTAGATTTTTTTAAGTTATTTATAATTTTCAAATTAGTTTGAGATGCAACTCTTAACGCTAAAAGTTAAATAACTATTAATGTGTCATAATTTATAAATAAAACAATTTGCTAAATATTTTCATGGCTTTATTTAAGATTTGGATTATAAAAAATATATAATTTATGTAAGCAACTACTCGAATAGATGGGAGTATCGAATGATTGGGCTATAAAGCCCATGGCGTAGTTTTGCACATACGCCTATTTGCCTAAAATTTTATTTTGTATCTAATGGAAAAAAAAATTTTTTTTTCTTGCTGATGCTGATTAGAGCAAAGGGAAATCATTGCTTAAATAATTGGAAAAAGGCGTAAGCGGCAGTTTCGCCCTTATACGTAGGAGCCATCGATAGCTAATAATTATCAATATTTTTAAGTAATTTGCCCTAATCTGCTCCTTTAAAGAGTTGCACTTTTTGATCTGTTTTGACTTTTGACCGAATCGAAAATCGAATCCGACATAACCCCATACAAAAAAGGCCTTATTTTTCGACTGGTTTGCGAATAATGTGCACGTTGTCTATACCCACTGACCTTCTATTTATTTATTTTTTGCAAGCAGGCTTTTAAAAGCGATTTTGCACATCCCAAATAAAACTTGCCTAATGCCCGTTTCCACCATCAGTCCCTAATTTTTAAGTGACCCCTATGGTAACAAATAACATGAATTTTGTTTACATAGGTGTCACTTAAAACTTAAAAATTAGGGATTGATGGTGAAAATGGGCATAACACAATAGGGATGATGGCTGGGTAATGAAATCGAAATTCTATTTAGTCCGTCAGACAGATAATTAGAAAATATTAGACTCATATTTTTTATTTTTTTCCATAATCGAATAATTACAGTATTAAATTGAGTTAAAATGTCGCGTGACGTCACTTTTGAGTAAAAATTCTACTCAAGCGTGACGTATCGCGCCATTTCAACTCGATGTAGCACTGTTATTATTTAATTATGAAAGAAAATAAAAAACATTATGAGTCTAATATTTTCTAATTATCTGTCTGACGGACAATTGGGAACGTGCGAAGTGGGTGGAAGGGGTAAAGAAAACGATCGCTGCGCTCGTCGCGGCACAAATGTGTAACATTATGGGCAAGGGAAGCAAACAAACTTGTCTTGTCATTGTCAATGTTGTTTTGATTTTAATGTGATTGTGTTAATTTATTCAATTTTATTGATGATATTGTACATGTATGTTGTGTTTTAGTTAATTTACAGCCTCCAATCTTTTCCAAGAGTAATACTGTTGTAAAAGGTAAATAAAATTCAACTGTCGAAAAACATAACTGTTTTTTATTTTATAAAGTTCTGCACTTATATTTTTATCATTATAATATTAAATTAACACTTTCTTATCAGTATCATTACTGCAACACATCCAAACATAAGAAGTTAGCATAAATTGGAGATATTTGACGTAGTATAGATTGTGGTTCACAATAGTCAGTCTTAGATACTGATCCAAACATATCTTGAAAATAGCTTCCTTTGGAATATTTACAAGCTCCAAATTGACGAATAATGGGTTCTCCCCATTGATGTTCGATGCTCGTTTTTAAATTACTAACTTTGTTGTTAATGCAACATATTAAAGCAGCAACATGTTTGCACTTGCTGCTCTGGTTATAAACGCAGCTGCATTTTACTCCTGTGACAACCCTAGCATGATCGATCTGTAATAAATGCAATGAATATTAATTTTATTACTTTCTCTAAATCTTTAGTCATATTTTTAGGTTAGGTGAGTACTTACGTTTAAACTTGTTTTATAGGGTGTCGAGGTCACCGATGTTTGACGAATGATGGTGGCTCAATAAATAACTATTGCCATTAGTTCTCAGCTCTTCTACATTCCTCACATGCTCTGCTAGCACCAATTTTTTTCCTTTTAGCTGAGTTTGGGGTTGGAAACATATGTGTGTTTTACACACTCAAAACCAGTTTTTATAATGACGTCCATTTCTCCGTAAACAGTTTTTATCAAATTCCATTCAACGTACCATTTATTGTCTTTTAAAGTATATTTTATTTACTCTAATCAATAAAAATAAGAAAGCTGTTGTTATTTATTTTTTGACATATGCCCCTTAAAGTTTCGTTGGCAGATGGCGCTAGTGTCGTGCACGTTCCCAATAATAATTGAAATTTTGTCATCTAGCCTATTATTACGAAAATTGCAGGTTTTGTATTTTATCTAAAGTAAGTATATTAGCAATTTATAAATATGAAAATTACTAATAAATAATCCCGTTAATCCTTCGTGATGATGGCAGGAGCGTATTTTTGCGCGAATTCGATCGAATATGATAGTGTAAACTTACGGTTTAGTTCGTTCGTTTGTTCTGTGCGCGTTTTCACGCGTGTTCAATCAAGTTCACGCTTATTGTAACTGCTTCATAAAACATAAACTATTATGGTAATGGCCACTTTTTAGAGTTATTGTACCTTCTCCTTACAATATTAATTACTCCAAGGTTTATGTTACAGAAATATCATAACGTTAATACGTTATTTTCTCACCCATAGACTAATGCGATGGAACTTTTTTTTATAATTGAGAACATACTGATAAATTGTTTAAGTAATGTTGGTAGACGTGCTGAGAAAACGCGGGAAGTAAAAAGGGATGGTATTCTCAGTTATCAATTTAATGATTTTATATTTTCGAAATAACCCTCCTTTTGGCGCAGTCGGATAAAAATCATTGTATATTTTTATTGTAACAAAATAATTATTTTATAAGAATCAGTATAGATTTAATTTATTTTATAATAAGGAATACTTTATTAAAATTATGATATTGCAATTAGTTGTCTATGGTACGGTTTAGGCGGAGAGAAAGTTTAGTCTGCGTTCGCGGCAAAATTAAAAATGGCGGGTACTGTTTCCAATCAGCTTTGAGGATACCTTTTTAATTTTACCTGTAACTAAACCTGTTTAGGTATGTGTATAATGTTTTAAACTTTTGCTATAATGTCACTACATAAGTAACAAAGTATCGTAATTACGCTGCGCCAGGAGGGTTATAAGTAAAATTAAGGTATTTTTTTTTAGAACTTTACTATAAAAAAAGAAAAATAGATGACTTATATTACTTAATACATTTTTCTGCTTTCTTTCTTATATTTTGATAAGAATTTTACCCGTTTAGCAATTTTACTGTTTCGGATTTAATTGCAGGTTTGAAAAAGTAGTAGTTTATGTTACTAGTTAAGTAGGAGGCAATAGAATGTAAAGGTTTTCAGTGAAGATCTATGACTTGCGTGAAAATGTAATTACTAATATTGAATCTTGAATTTGTTTGTGGAACCCAGCCAAGAACTAGCAGTGTCCAATTTAGTTCAAAACAGTAAACGTATAATTTGTAAGTATAATAATTTAACCTGAATAATTTAAAGAATTAATTTACTAAGGCACTAACCTAGGCAAATTGTTTAAAGTCTAAACGCAATACCTACCCACAAAAGTACCTAACTCAAAACACGGAAGTCATGTCATTTGTGTCTGATGTTTATAAATGACGTGTTCGTGCAGTCTATCTCATAATAGCTACCATTTATCAGGCCTTTGGGGCTAAGAAATGCTTACGAGGCCATAACGAATACCATACCGCTACCAAAAAGGCAGCAAGATACTTAGATAGACTACACAAAACGAGGTTTCTTCGGTGCTGTTTGAAAAACTTTGATTTTTCATTTAATTTTATTCGAAGAATTATTTAGATTGTATGCTGTATGAGTTTCATGTCAATGGCGGATAATAATAATTTAAACAATGGGATTCGTCTATCTATGCTTAAATTTAAAACTCGCATCTGGAATGTTGGCAACCTTGTGATAGATGGATGAGTGAGACGGTAGGTGGGAAATTCTTAGCGACAGCGTCCAGCGCACGCGCTTTTAATTAAATATAGGTAAATAATTTGAATTTGAAAAATTCAAAAAGTACTTATATGCACTTATGGATTGTCTTGTTTTTATGGAAATTATTAATCAAGTTAGTGTGATTAAAAAGTGAGGCGTTAAAAATCGATTATTTACATGACGGACAGTAATCAAATTGGTGGCGATATGAGGCGACCCGAGCGATGAAGTGGTTTGGGATTAAAACACTTGTTGTTTTATTAATT